AAGAGACAGTCTCCGGGGCAGCGGGAGCTGTGTTTTGGGAGCCGTGTTTGGTCCCCCCGCTCCCGACGGGAAGGTGACTCTTCCCCCCCCGCATGCTGCTGCCAGATGAGGACAGCCTGTCCGGGGACGCCGGCGACCTGAAGGTGCCCCCCTCCCAGATCAAGAGGAAGAAACGCCGGCACAGGTAGAGCCCGAGAGCGGGGCTCTCCCCCCGCGTTCTCCCCTCCTCGCTGCTGCCACCGGCCTCCTGCGGTACCTCTGGTCCCTGGGCTGGGGCGGTGGATGGCCCCAAGGCAGCCGAAAGCGAAGCTGCCGCTGGGGTGGGGGGCGGGATTTCCAGGAGGATAACCTCAGCGGGGAGGGGGCTGCCAGCCCCGCCGCTTGCCCCCAGTGTCCGGGCTGTGTCCCAGGACGCTCCCTCCCTCCTCCCGACAGGACGGTGTTCACAGCTCACCAGCTGGAGGAGCTGGAGAAGGCTTTCAACGAAGCCCACTACCCCGACGTCTACGCCAGGGAGATGCTGGCCGTGAAGACGGAGCTGCCAGAGGACAGGATACAGGTGGGTGGAAGCGACGGTCCCGACTCTCCCCGTGGCGTCTGTGAGCTGCCGGCACCCACCTGGCTCTCCCGCTCCGTGGCCGGTGAGCACAGGCGGTGGGAACACGGTGGCACAGAGGCGCTGCAGGGGGCCCTGGGAGGGGGAAGCTCGGCTTCCGACCCCCCGGCACGGAACAGGCTCCAGATGGAAATGAGCAACCAGAGGACGGAGCTGGCTCTGACCGCTGCTCGCTGCTGGCAGCTCGGCTCCATCCTCCGGAGACTCACCTCAGGCAGGAGCTGAGAGCAGTTCGGGAGCCACTGGGCCAAGCTGCGTCTCACCAGCTTGCTCACTAGCGTGTCCCTCTGAGGGGTGCCTCTCGGTTTAGGGCCCGATCCTGTCCCACTGTGGAGCAGCCTCTTGGCTTAAGAATGGGGCGGTGGTCTGGGCAGCAGCCAGGTTGATCTACACCCCTTGAGCTTTCCAATGCAGGAAGGGGGTGAGGAGAGGGACCTGAGCACCCTCTTGTCATCATCAGTCATTGTGTTAAGGACCCCTTTTTCCACAGAGGTTGGTGCTCCGTGCAGAGGCAGCATAAGGGGCCCTGCGGGCAGGTGGAGCATAGGGTGACTGTGGCTGGGCTCGCCCTCCTGTGCCACGATCAGCCTCGTGTAACGTGTACTCCCTCTCCCCCCCTTCCTCCCCTCTTTCACTGACACCCACGTTCGTACCCTTCCACAACCCCCTCCCCATGCACCATCCCGGCTGCCTTCCTGCTGCCGCCTGCGCGTCTGCACCCCGTGCTTGCGCACCTGAACCCCTCCACACACACATGCGGCCGCCCCTCTGCCCTGGACGCACACTCCCCCCTGCCCAACGGGCCCTGGGAACCTGGCTGCGGGGTCCATCTCCTCCCCAATCCTACCCCTCCATGCTCTCCTGGCTGTTACCCCTGAAGGTTTGGTTTCAGAACCGAAGAGCCAAGTGGCGGAAGCGGGAGAAGTGCTGGGGCCGGAGCAGCGTGATGGCCGAGTACGGCCTCTATGGGGCCATGGTGAGGCACTCCATCCCTCTGCCTGAGTCCATCATCAACTCTGCCAAGAGTGGGCTGGTGGGATCCTGTGCCCCATGGCTGCTAGGTAAGTGAGAGCATGGGGCTGGGGAGTCCAGGGGGGCAGCTGCAGAGCAAACATCCCTTCTTCCTTTGTGTGGCCATCCTCACCTTTTTCCAGGACAGAACAGTGCCTCAGCCATGTATGCAGGCTGCCAAGCACCCTGGCTTTTCCACTCCCTCCTTGCAAAGAACAGCTGGGAAAGGAAAAACCTTTTACTGCCACGTCAGGCAGGTGCCTGGACGTGGTTAGGTATCGCTTTCTAGTGCTAGCAGCCAGCATCTAGGAAGTCATCACCCTCCCCTGCACACTGAAGATAATGCTACCTCAGAGCTACCCTCTGCTCGTACATGGTCCTACACTGAGGTGGCACTCAAAATCCAGGCCAGGATGGGCCGTCACAGCACCCCCCTCCCTGTAAGTCTTCCCCACAGCAGGGGAGGTTCAGACCAGTTCTGCCGCAAGCCATTCTCTTGGGCTGCAGAGAGCAGGTGGCAGGTTTCTGGGGTGGAAAAGGCTCTCAGCTAGCATGAGTTTTCCTTGGGATGCAAGCAAGAGCTGGAAGAAGCAGCAGGAGAGCAGGAGTCTCGGGCAGAAATAAGCAAACAGCGCTCTTGGCTTTGCTTTCTCCCCTCTCCAAGGCATGCACAAAAAGTCCATGGAGGTGAGCAGGAAGGCGGAGATCCAAGAGAAGCTGGCAGATGGCTGGCAAACGGAGCAGGAGGAGGAAGAGGAACTCAGAGTGAAGCAGGCCAGTTCCCAGAGGGGCTCTGACAAGCTTGGCCCTGCAAAAGATGCGGAGGATACGGCAATTGACCTTTCCAGGACAGCCAAGCACGAGAAGAGGGGTATACTGAGGCAGTGCATCAATGGGGACCCACCCACGGAGCAGAAGGACAGGGACCACTGAGCTCTTCCCCAGAGGAGGCCAGACCTCACAGCTTCCTGGGCGAGATAATAATATTTATTGATTTATTGATATATATTTTTCTTAAATAATTGAACTTTTATCTGAATTCAGGGCATTTTACAACTGGGCACACGCATCCCCTTGTTCCCTCACTTTCAAGCTGTTCATTTCTCAGCAGAGCCAGCGTGGAGGGTGGGAGAGGTGTCCTCAACAGGGCCAAGAGCAGCATGAAAATGGGACCACACTGTGGTCAGCATGGACTGCTGCTGGAGAAGAGCTGCCCTCCCCCCTGGGCTGTGAACACTTCCCCGGCTAGCCAGGAGCACAAAGAGCAGCAATGAAATGGGAGTCGCTCCCTTCTCAAACGCTCGGGTGCAAAGACGGTGCAGGAGTTTACAGATGCCTTTGCCAAGCGCTTGCACCCCTGCACAGCACCCGTGTGGCAAGTCCCTCCACTTTGACCATATAATTCTTCCACCTCCAAGAGCAGGAGAGTTTTTAAACATGGTAGGGCTCATCCTCAAGCTGGTATAACCTGATAGATGCACCAGTTTATACCTCCTGAGGATCTGACCTGTCAATGCAGCCTTATCACTGGATTTACACTGTGTAGCTTCCTTAACTCATCTTTGGGAGAAGGGGTAAAGACATTTTTGGTTTTGCAATGATTTTGTACAGTCTTGAATGTTATCTATGCATAATAGAACAGACCTTTTTGAAAACTAAGCCATAGTACCCTGGAACAACTAAACAATTTTGTGAATTGACATAAGATATTTTGTAATTGTCTGTAAAAAGTGTTAATGTCAGAGCTGTTTCTTGGTTGTCCTATATTTATATCTAAAAGCACTTTTGTGATATGGATTTTTGAATGTGGATCTTCCTTTTTTGTCCACCATTTATTTATTACACATCCATAAATAAAATTGTGGTGTATCTTTGGTTTTCATGTTCTCCACTGCGATTTGTACCCTCCTTTGGCACATTTCGTGGTAGTTACTAGTTTTGAGCAGATCCTCTGCAGACTTGTGCCTAAACTGGGTGGGAGCTCTCTGCTCAGGCAGTGTAGTTGTTCCAAGGGGTCAGAGCAAAGCCCTCGTGTCTCCCCAGAACGGAGGTCTAGTCCAGTGGCCTACACATGCCAGAATTCTGTCAGTGAAAGAGCCAAACCACAGCTTATGGTCTGAAACAGAGCACTCGGCCAATTCCTGAGGGAAGTCATGGAAAGAAAGATGCTCCATTCTTCTAAGTGTTGTTGAAAATTCTCCTTGATGCAGCTCAAGTGTGAGGTTCTTCACTAAAATGTCTGCTGCCCTGATGGCAGGAAAGGCCATTGCACAGGCACTCTGCTCTCCTCCTCCTGCTGCTTTGGAAGGTGCAGAGTTGGCCCCTGTGTCCTCATGTCTCTTGTGGTTAAATACAAGGAGCAGCTGCTCACCTGGGCTAGGTGAATGCATGGTGGGAGGTACCGCTGGGGGCACCTCTGCCTCCCAGGGAGGCACAGGAAGCAGCTGCATAACCCCAGCTGCACAAGCACCTCCAGCAAGAGAAGCCCAAGGGCATCGTGGCCATCCAACTGCCTGACTCCCAGCTGTGTCAGGTCCTCATCTCATGGCTGGGCTGAACTGACCCATGCACACACCATGACATCTCTCCTGGAACAGCTCCAGTTTCATCTGCTGGCCAAATCATAGCGGAAAATGATCAAAAGGTTTTATTAAAATCTGAATAATTCTAATTTGGAAAGTTTCCTAATACAGCTCAGGCCGTGTGTGGCCGTGTAACAATGCTGTCACCTGTCCTTGCCTCTGCTGCTGGGCCTGGCTACTTGCACACAGGCTGTGCTGGATCTGTCTCTTATACAC